CGTGGATGTCTTTAATGACAAAAAATAGTCTAGGCCATGTTTGGTGAGCCAGGAAATTTGATTATAATCTAATTCAAAATCAATAATGAATTTTAATAATATATTTCATGAGATTCAAATTTGTTTAACCACACATTTCATTAACTTTTATCAAAATTTGTTAAAAAATTAACTTTATCAAAATCTGCTAAAAATTTAATTTTATCAAAATCAAAGGCTAAACCTTCATTAAATCATAATTGGAATTTTTAGATACCAATCCTAGTTGTGAAGTAAATTTAAAATGAAACCGACAAGGACAACTTAATTATTCAACACTTATTCGAAAACATTTTTGTAATGAGAGACCGATTGATTATGCAACAAATGTAATGAAAAATACGAGGATTTACTTTCTTATTTATTTATTTATTTTAAAAGGTGGATAATGTCGTGCTTGACATTATCATTGTTGTCAATAAATGATTTGGTTGAAAAAAAATATATTTTTTAAAACTATCCAATAATAAATTGGCATATGACAAAGCGTAAAACTTGATGTACATCATTATATACACCAGACATGATTGAAGACAAATTTACTATTTTTTATCAACCGTATGCAGGGATCGGTTACCAAGCTTTCAAGCAGACCAAACCCTTCTGCGATGCAAATGTATACGGTAATTGTATTGGCGATCCGAACACGAAATTCAATAAACGCCCTTGTGACTACGATAATCTCTACGTTAGGACGGGGAAATGATTTAAGGATCAATCAATTGTGGCGAGCACGTACGGCTTTGCTTCTCTTGCTCTACAAAAGAAACTGGTTTATTTTTTTCTTTTAAGCTAAGCCAAGCATGATCAGTGTTCCCGTTTGTTGTCCTTTGTAAATGTATGTATTATGCGAATAATTAACGTCATATGTATGTATGTATTATGTTTGTTTGCTTAATTACATGTATTATCTTATATTAATCAGCTTGTTCACTCCAAATTATTTTATAAAAAAATTGGAAAAGGAAATACCACCCTCTCTCCCTCTGTATACTAGAAAGAAGCAAATATAATGAATCTGGTAGGTTGGTTAGGAGCTAAAAAGTATAAAGTTGATGATGTATAATGTGACAATACTTTCATAATTACTCATTGCCAATTCGAATGAGTACAAAGCATTAAATTACACGATAGTTGTACACGCGATGTTCTTATTTCTAACATTTATTTACAGTGTTCTAAACTTATTGTAAATTTTTTTTGCACTACAACAAACAACCATATATTCTTTTGGTAATCGGACAATTAAATAATAAAATTAAACATGAAAAATCAATCAAGAATAACTAGAATTAAGCTAAATTACATGTATTGAGTTAAATAAATAAGAAATATGTTTTATCTTTGTTCAATACATGGAAAAAATTAGCCCAGCATAATATTTATTTGTAAATTACGCAAAAAGAATTGAATTGATATCACTCAGAACCAAGAGCAATGAAAGAAACTATGAAAAGTCAATTTTCTCTTCACTAATCTTGAAATCGAACCTTGATTCTTCAATCTTCGTGTGCTAATTGCATAGATTCTCGTACTAGATTTCTTCTTTGCGCTCTAAGTTGGTGTGTCTCATCGATGACCGCCTTAATTAGGTCTAATAGGTGCAAGAATTTCATCCCAAAAAGAGTTGAAGCAAACAAGGAAACTATTGATTCCTAAAAGTTTGCTCCCCATTCTCGCACTACATATGTTCTACCACGCACTACTTCATTGGTCCAACCTCGAGTTTGATTTCCTTGGGGCTTGCATGAGCGTGGTTCAGTGTGGCGCGTGTGCGCCAAATTCATTTTCAAGAATGTGTGTTTTGGTCCCTAGGTTTGATACATTCTTCGGTTTGAATCATTTCTTCATGCAATTTTCATCATTTGACTTTTAATTTCATCCAATTGATTCCATGCATTCTCCAATCATCGATACGAGGTCCAAATCAACTATTAAATATTTGTACTTTGGTTCTCAGACTTTGAAAATCAATCATTTTAGCCCATTTTTCGCTCATTTTATTCAATTCCATCATTTTTCATCGAGTTGTATCTGACAAACGAATTTATAAATAATTAAGACAATATTAATCAAAATGCATAGAAACTAATCTCATTTAAATGCTTAGATAAATATATTGTTTGATGAATTTCGATGGTCAACTACATACATTTAAGGATTTTTGGTCGATATAACGTCTGCAATATAATTTTTTAAAAAAAAAAACTATTACAAAATGACCCAAACAAATAGTGGGCCCCACACCAAACGATTGCTATTTTGTCAACTTGTGTGGAATTTCCACTGCACCGACAGAACCAACGATTAATTAACAATTATTAAAACATAGTTAAATAAAATGAAAAGAAAAAGAATTTTTTTTGAAAGGAGCAAGCTGGAACCCAATGGTATAGTATAGTCCCACATGAATATCTTTAATGACAAAAATAGTCTAGATCTTGATTAAGTCCCTATTTGATTTAATTAAAAATCATATTCAAGTACCTTTTAATAAAAAATTATGAAATAAGTGGTTGAAAAGTTAATAAAAGTTCTGAATCCCATAAAAAATGTGTGTTGACTTGAAAATGAATTTTGTAAAATTTGCTTTTCCCATTTGTACAGAAGAAGCAACAATAGAAATTGGCCAAAATAGACTAGAACAATGGGCCCCACAGTATATTTAAATATTGCAAAAAATGACGGGCCCCACCTGCTTGTGTATAGTCTGGTATGTTTTTGTGGTGCACAGTTTCTTTACACCCAGCAGAATTCTAAAAAAATAAGTGCCAAACATTTATTAAATTGTCACGTAATTCTCGTAAAAGTATGTCATGGAAGGAAAACTTAATGATTCAACACATATTCTGTAAATTTTAGTAATTAGAGACTGATTAAACAACAATTATAATAAAAATTGAGGATTAATTTTCTATATTTTAAAAGATAGATACTAATTCACTACTAGAGTAATAGATGTAGGACCACTGGAGTAATTTTGTTAAAAGAAAATCAATTAATCAATAGTCAAGCTAAGGCCCATGGACCAAGCCGTTCTGCTGCCAGCTTCTGGACAGTAAGCACCTGTCTTTTTCTACCCACTGTCGGCAACTGAGTGTATTTATTTATTTATGTGAAAATTACTCGAAATCTTACTTTTCAATATTCTATTTCCAAAATCAGATCTCAAATTTCATCTTTTCAAAATCAGATATTTCATTTTTAAATATTAAATATCTATTATACAATTTTTATCACAAACCCTAATCAATTAACCTCCT